TACATATTATATACCTGTACATATATATATATATATATGAGCAATTAATAGCAATTGTATATGTATATATTTTCTATATATACCACCAAGACAGAATTCTGAATGGCTCCTTCTGTGCTGTGAGCTCCCATGTGAGGCTGTTTGGGAGTTGGGAGTCTCAATCAGTTGTGACATGTGGCCGATGGCTGGCAACTGCTGAGTATGCAGTCATCAGTGGATGTGTTCAAAGCAGGAGGACTTCAAAAGCGGGCAGCGCAGCGCGGTTTCTGGGCTGTTTTCTCAACAAATCCCGTTCAGAAGTTTCTCACAATTTGATTGGTGTCTACATATGTCTACAATAGACTTGATCATTTGATTGCAAAACCAAACATTTGAAATTCACCACATATCCCAGTCCTTCTTGAACTCTGGCTCACCTCAGAGGAGGACATGGAGGGCTTCTTGGACTTGGATGATCATGATAATCTCACTTAGCTGGTCGCGTTGGGCCGTTTTTGCCTCCAAAGTAGTTGGATAGTAGTTGGTTGCTTTTGGACATTCTCTACCATGAACGCCCTAAACAGTGGAGCAATGCGAGTTTCAAGCAGTCCTTTAAGGACCATGAAACATCATGAAACAGCATGAAACACCCCACGAGCCAAAAAAGCAAATAAAGTAGAACCAAGTTGCTTTTTCCATCTATATACAAAGAAGACCCACACATACCGATTTGACCAGGTTGACCAAACATGTCGTACATACCCTAGACTTGGACCAAAACAATGACCAACATGCACTCACATGCCCTATGACCATGTTGACAGTCTCTCCACCCTAGTAAATGGAAAAGACAAGCAACAAAACCATTCATTGCTGCGGGATTGTAAAGCGTTCACCAAATCTATCGCTTGAGGGTCTCACTCTTGTAGTTTAGTTTACACACCCAAATGGCGGTGCGCAGCTCAGAAACGCCCGTGCAGAGCCCTGCCGCCCAGAAGCCATTGACCTTCCCCTTCTTCGAGACATCTCGATTGGTGCCTGGCGTGGAAGCAGAAAGACGAGTTCGTAAAGATCGATTTTTGCAGCATATGGATAACTACTACTGCCCCAAAGGTGGATTATGTGATGTGTAATGTTTCTTTATGATGCTGTTTTGCACATTCAAGAGTTTCTACTAAACAGAAGATTGGCCGATGCCACGAAAGCTAATCCCTTTCTGTCTCAACTCATGTGTCAGTTGTGGACCACCTTTGGCATTCTGAGACACTGCGCACGCCAAACGTGAGTCCGAACATGTCTGGTTCCCATGTTCCATCGATGTCTCGGGGTCCACCTCACCCACCGCAGAGGTGCACTCCGAAACCGAGTTGTTTCATACCACACTCCATTCCATGGCACTGGCATACTTACCTATATTATGGGACAAGGGAGTGTGTGGGATAGTTTTATAGGTGTTTTGGGGGGACTTCCAGCCATGCAGTATGTAAGCCTGCACTGGTTGATGTCCAAGTCACCCATGAGGGCATCGAGAAGGGCTTTGTTGCGGTTCATGGTGTGCACGGGACTGCGCTGCTGTCCACCAAATCAAGAGAATTCCTCAGCTGTGTTCACAGGGGGAAGTGAAGGTGTATACAACGTGGCTGTTAGCCAATCTCCAACACGATAGCAAGTTTGGAGCCTCTTGTTTGCTCAAATGAATTCAAAAGGAGGGTGAAGTTCCTGTGAGCAACCCAGAGAAGCTGATCAAGAATACAAAAACAGAAATAACATAATTATCATGATATATTATCTCATGTATATCATGTATATTGGGAAGGAGCACCCACCGAATCATACCAGGAAGGTCGATACACATGGCGCCATCTGGGTCCAGTTGAGCAATCCTCTCTCTACTCAGAGGGAAAAAAAACGTTCAAAAACACTTAGTTCAGTGGCCGCCCGTGTCTGTTCTTTGGGTCCTTCCATCTAAAGAAAATCACGGTCTCCACATCCCTTTATTTGAAGAGGAGTTGCACAAGTTTCCTGCGGAGCTCACCTGCAACTTCATCGGTCGACGAGAGCGGTTAGACTAGTCAGACCGCAGGTCGACGAGAGCGGTTAGGCCCCAAATCTGGTAGACAATCCCGTTTTCCATCAGGTGAGCCAATCGGCCTATGAAATCAATGTGTTTTCTGGTGGGGGGTTGTCATGGCCAAAAAAGAAACACGTCTGAACTGGTTCCCGAACTCAAATCCTCCAGACTCCCGAGGGTCGACGGAGGAGACAAAGCGTCCGCCTCCGCCTCCGCCATCGATGCGAAGAATTGGACCAGATCGCGGGAACCCCCAAAACGAATTGGCCAATCCCGAAAAGTCAGAATACAACATCTGCGGATCAGAACGAGTCTGCGAGTTAGCGAATTAGAACTTCTAGCCTTCTTAGAATTGGAACTTTCCATACCACTTGTGTCAGGCTATGAGGTTACGCTGGATGTAGCTACAACGGTTCATTTCACTCGACCTCAACATGCAACAATCAGGTCATTTGGGCTAGACTGGTGGATTCCGCGAACTCTTAGGTCGCATCCGAAATGCCGAAACATCGACGGTGTCAAAAGCTTCTACCTCAAGCTCAGTTGTCCATCTGATGTTTCTTCGTAATTACATGGACCTAGCTCCATGTTTATCCGTCCAGTTCTGTTTCCTTCCACAGTTCCCTCATTCCACCAGACCCCGACCCTTTCGGTCCCTCTGGTCGCCAAGTAGCTGACAGGCCGTGTTCACGGTGCCTTGGGACCGAAATCTGTTGAGACAAACCAAGACATGGACGGCCGGGAATGCTCATCTGCCCATCTTTCAATATCTTTGGTGGTTTTTTAAAGGAATGCCATGGTGGGTGGATTGGCCAACGGGCCAACATCTAAAAACCAGAAGTGATCCTTGCCTTCTGTGGAGTGCTTAAGGCTCAAAGCTCAGATTCAAGCCAGGAAGCGTCAGGAAGCGCCTAGCTTCACCCTTTCATTCTAGGTGTTCATGGATTTTCTACTTGGCTGTGGTCCCCTTCAAGAAGTTCCCAGTTGGTTTCTTTTCAGGGCACTTGCTCAAAGTCATGCCACCTGTGTTGTTTCTGGCTAAGCATTATATAAGCATGCGAAGCCTGGGAAGATCGAGCTCTTCCAATGGACCTGGTGATCTTCCATTCCCTGGACCAATGGACCTGGCTGGATGAGTCGCCGAAACACACCCTCCGGAACACCCCAGGTGGAACCGGTGAGCCCAGGCACCGAGCTCCGAGCACCGATCACCAGGTGCGGTGAGACCGAGCCATGCTGAGCCAAGCGGTCTCGGCAGGTTTGGCGTCGACCGGGACCACGGTCCGCTCGGTGTAGTGATGCCCTTTGTTCCTAGTAACTTCTTGTTACTAGTAGCGATGGCCTCCAACCTAATAGCGATGGCCTCCAACTTCGTAGCTTCTTGCTACTAGTAGTAATGAAGAAGAAACGACTATATAGTAGTTTCTTGCTCCTGGTAGCCATGCCATTTGTTCTGGAACGGGTGAGAATGGTGGGACTTTGCAAGGGTTGGGGGTGACCCTCGTCTGTTCATACACACAACTCCTCTGCTTTCAGGTCACTTTTTGGCTTTTGGGAGGAGCAAAAGACTGGAATAAATCTTGCACGCACAGCTCGAAACACTGGTGTCAATCATAAACTCCTTCGTGAAATGGTCCTTATAAATAGCAGCTGTCAAAAGGAAAGGTCAAAGTATGACTCCAAATCGGCCCCACATGCTTGATACAATATATAAAATATACCTAGACCCTCCCGAGGTAATTATTTTTGCCGTAAGCTGTTGAGACAATTTTTTTGCCGTAACTAATTTGTCTGCCGTAGCTCAATCCCTAGAAAGTGAAAACGGCGCCAGAGAAGTGAAAGCGCCGTCACAAAAGAAGAATCGCCGTTTTGTTTGATCTACCAAAGAGGATATTGTTACTTGCAAGTTAGAGTTCATCGTTTTCAAACCTCATGGTAGCACTTCTCCAGATGTTACAGCCCTTGTCTGAGGTCTCGATTGACATCACGGCAGGATTTGTTCACATTTTGATCACGCAATGGCTGAAACAATCGATTGTGACAAGTCTTTCTGCCACCTGGAGCGTCCTTCAGAGAGGGTGCGGGGAACAACGCCATCAGTAGGGGGAGAACGCCGTAAGTACGTGGAAAACCGCCGTAACATTAAATGCTAAGTCTTCTGCAATGCCGCGCAAGAGGTCGAGTTACTCACGAAGCCGACGAAAACCCAGCATGTGACACTTCCATCAGCTGCCTTTTCCACTTCACACGACTATGCAAATTTGCTGATATAATTAGATAGGTTCAGTCGCCTTTCACGCAAAACCCTACAATGTCTTCATACTCGCCTGCACTAAAAGGAAATTACTCTTTGAGGCGCATGGATGTGTGGACCAAAATTGCCGTCAACTGATCGCAACTGCCGCAGTTCATCAAGAGACGCCGTCCCCATGAGATCAATATCAGAGAACGCCGCAGGATGGAAAAAGGCGACGTTGCATGAAAACGGCAATTGTATAATGCCGCAATATAACGTAGTTCTATAGCATGCTTCATGCTTCATATTCAATCCACCCATCCGGAGCCACTGGACGACCACACGACGGAGCATCACCGGGGACATACCGGGGCCCGCTATGGTTCAGGGTTCGTTCGCGATCCAACGCAGGATCTGTTACAGTAGGATATCTGTTGAGTCGAGGATCATGAAGTTCTCGATTGCTGTAGAAAAAGAGTTCGGAGTGCTAACTCTTACACGGGAGAAGCATGTGGACCTGCTACAGTGTGCCGCCTTTACGGGTTGAGAGGTTTTTAATACAGTTGAGATCAGTTGAGGCATTGATGGCATAGGACCATGCCATCACAACTTGTTTTTGCTCCGTCACCTGTCAATTCCACGAACTCCTGTCCCTAGGGCCCCAGGGCATCCATCAATCACACCAGCGACACACCCAATCGCATGACGCACATCCTCATAGAGGACGTCGATGGCTGTCACCAGTGCCTGTGAATTCCGTTGCGCCGTTGCGTGCGGCTTCGATCTGTCAGTCTTCCAGCCGGCCGCCAACAGGGACCGTCCGTGACAAGTGTCAAATCATCCAAAATCGGCTGGTTTGGTGGATGACCCCAACAGCAAAATCACCCCTTTGGCCTGACCACGCCCAAGTGGTTGGGATCGGCGAAACACTTCGCAACAGCTCCCCATTGTACGTAATGCCCAGCCGCCCAGCCTGCGCGCATTCCTCGTGGTTCCGGGCGTTTGCGTTCTCGGCAAGCTCATCAGCTAGCAGGTAAAGGTACTGGCAGCATGACGGTGACGTAGATGGTCTTGAATGTGAAAAAAACACATGTCTGACTGACAGCTGTGACTATTTTATACACGTTTAATGTTCGGCTCGGCACAAATCCAAACAGTAAAGCTAGAGTTGAGACTGAGGTAGACACGCAGCTACATCTGACATCATGGTCTTGAATCTCTCGGGGTGATTGTTTGAGCAAACACCATCAACATCATCAGCTATATAACATGCCCCGATTGCCCTCGGCTGCTGACGTACGCTATTTGGTTTCTAGTCTAAATGGCCCTTGACACGTCCATGAGGGGCATGTGTGGTGATGGGGTTGGCGCATGGCAATGACGATGGCCCTAAAGCAGACCTACACAATGTGGAGGAGCTCCTCCAACACCTCTGCAATTTGGAAGGTCAACCTCCTTGCATGGATTAACACTTGGATCTTTGTTGGCTAATTTTGACACAAACATCGAAGATCAACACCCAGTGGTTTCGACTCTGCAGGCTCCCTTGTTGGAGCAAACAAGATTTGGTGTGTCCCACAAAGCATTGGGTGAAGAATATCCCACCTTCTCCGCCTTGATGGCATATGTATGCAGATTGGCTCTCATAATGTAGGATGTAATAGGATGTAGGTTTTTAGGGAGGCCACGGGGTTGGCCGTCTCAGGGACACATCAGACTTTGCCTTGAGCTTGCGTGGTTGCTTTGTGTGCTTTGTTGATTTGTGTACCTGGTCCATTGTTTTGCCCGCTGTCCCCCCAAGGGGAGCCTTCAGCCCATTTACGCCAAGAAGTATATGGGGGCTCACCGAGACACAAAGAAAAAGAACGTCCCTGCGGTCCCTGCGTTCTCCTGGTTCTTGTCCGGACGATTCCGGAGCCTTGCATACCTCAGATGATGTGGGTCCACAGACTCGATTCAAAAGAAAACATGGGCTGCCCGACTGGAGGGTCAAAGTTTAAGATCTCTGGAAACCACTGTGAGGTGTGTTCGGTTGCAGGTTACCTTCCTGCAAACGGGAACTCGGATCATCCGAGTCAATGTCTGCAACTTCACCCGTGAAACCTTTGAAACATTCATTGCACGTCGTTTCGATGCAAACAGCAGCCGGAAATGAGCACTGTAAAGCTTGCATTGTCCCCCCAGCAGTCGGTGAAGCATTCCCAGTCACTAATCTCGTGAAGGGTTTCTTGAAGGGTTTGTAGCAAAGCGTTCTTGACCTGGCTTGCGCATCGGTCAAAGCCTTCCTCGCAACCACGGTCATCATCTGCTTCCGGGCGAAGCCGTTGCGATGTCTGCTTCGACGTGGATGCAGCAGCAGCAGCAGCAGCAGCAGTAATATATTTGACAGGGATCGGGATTTGTGCATGATATTGCCACACTGTTGGGCGACCCAATAGCAGCGGCCCAAACATGGCCCAAGAATTTCCCGCAAAACGCAGGGGCTTTCAGTGGGCGACTGAACCCCTCGACAAAAAACAAAGGTGAACCGAACGACCTCCACCTGTTCGCAATTCCCCTAAAAATATGTTTGCAGGCTATCCACTTTTGGTAGGTCAACCAGTGCCTCCAGGCATCTCCAGGCGCCAAATGAATCGCATGGAACCACATGGAACCATGAATGAGCTGCAGTTCCCCGTTCCGCATGCAGCAGCATGTGCACATCACATGGACAACACTGGACTTGGTGGCTGGGCGATGAAAGGCCATCCAATGTGTCTCGAATCACCCTCTGATCAGAGGTATGTCGGATCTGGCGTATAACGCAGCAATGTGGAAGGCCTCCGGATGGACTCAATGGCCCATGCAACAACTCAGGAATGGGTGTTTGATGTGTTTTGTGGCAATGCAGGCGGTCCCAACCCAGGGGGTTCTCCGTTTCTGTGGGTTTCTATGGGTTTCTTCGCACATCGGTAGTCGGGAGACACCCTGTAAACTCACAACGGATCGGTAGATGTTCTCCAAATGGCTTTTGTGATGTTCATATGATTTCATACCCCATGGCGACATGGTTCCACGAACAGCTGAAGTTGCAAGAGGCCAAGTCGCATGAAGGCTGAGCAGCTGAGGACGTACAGTGTAGTATCGAATCCCCAGGCATCAGGGCCTTTTTACATTGGTGAGCACAACGCTGCTCAAGGATGACCGCTGCTCAATCAAGTTGAACTTTCTGAAGGGCTGATAGAGGTTGATAGCTTTCAGGGAGAGGTGAGACTTTGGTCAGCTTCATTTGCATCTCTTAATCGTCGCAACCCCTCCTTTTGGTCGTCCATGTTGCAGCACCTGGTCGTCCAACTGGTCATCTGTTGTATGGAGGAATCCCATGGCATCTTTCAAGAAGCGAGGTTATGCGGCAAGATAAGATGAGCCTCGCTTGTTACCCTCTGTCCAACAATCACGGAAGTGGACGTCCTGGCCGCTGGCCCCTGGAAAGAGCATTATCTGAATACCAAACAGGGGCTTGTCCACTTCCATGTTTGCTCCACTTCCATGTTTGTTGCAAGAGTTGCTTCGATCAGCTGAGTTCCCCCGGCTTTCCAGCAAAGTTGGGGATTTCGCCCTCCTCAAGAACACCACGCACTCGAACCCACCTCAGCATCGGCGAGTCGAACCCGGACGTCGGGCCTGAAATCGGAGACGGTGTTCACCGCGTTTTCGCAGGCGGTCTATCCGATAAACCTTTGCCCAGCAGAACTGAACTGTGAGTGTGAGACACCATCACCGAGTTGACGCTTGGACACGGACCGCCGGTAGGAGTCGATCTTCTACAAAGTACGCTAGTAAGGGCTATTTGGGATTGTCCACATCCGTTGTTTTTGATCCTTTTTGCAATTCTGAGCGGCCAAAAAGATTCCAAGTTTCACGATGCTTCACGTTTTTGCCTTTCTGCTGCCAACGCATTTCATCCCGTGATCCCTCCCTTCACGCACATGCCTGTGCCCGGCGCCAAGCGCCGCCCGCCACGCCGCTCCACATCCCGTCGGCACCGAGACGCGTGGGGACTTCAGGGCGCGTCGCGCGCTCGAGGCGGTAGGTGGGCAAATGCCCTCGGTTCACCAGGACCGTGGAGCCATCCTGCCCGAATCTGCTTCGCTACCGAGGGCCCAAGGATTCTTTAGGGTGGACGGTTTCCGAGCGAAGCGGATTAGAGGAGCCTAGCTCGTGTTAGGCCAATCTGGTGAGACTTGAGCGGCGGGTTGGAGGGGGCGGGTTGGCCTCCAGGTGGTGGATGAAACGTAATGCTTCCAGAAAGTGGAGTTTGAACAGGCGGAACGGGGAGTTTAGGGACATCAAGAAAGTTGAGTCTGGGGACATCAAACATGTGGACAATTTCCACATGTCAGATGTCCCCAAGCCGAACAACACGGCACTGCGAGTACTCTGTAATTACGGCACTGGGTTGCGAGTGAAGAGTTACTGGCAAGGAACGTGGAGATATCTACTCCTCCATACTCCTCCTAATTTTACCATACTCCTATATTTGACTTGGCTATTATTTGTGTTGCACCGTATGTCATTCGCACCCGACTGATAGGTTACGTAAGCTACGAAGATGTCAGAAATATGTTTAAGCCTGCCACTCACCCTAAAGGACTATCTTTTGAGAAGTGCTTTCATGAGATGGATATGGCAAGAGGCTCAACAAAAGAGGGGCAAGAAAACCTTTTGGATTGGATGATGTTTCTTGGAAATAATCGGATGTTTCAGACCCAAGAAAATGTACTCTGACTTACATGTTTTCTCGTTGTTTCTTTTTTTATTTTGCTATCCAAATAGACTTGTTGAAGGCTTCTTCTGCGGTCATGAGGTATATATGCTGGATGGCTGGAGGGTCGGGAGCGACCTGACCAGACCTGACCTGCGCAATTCTCTCATGCATTTCGATCATTGGATCGCTCTACGTACTACCCTGCAAAGAAGCAAAGAACCCTCATCACCATCAGAGTCAGCTGCCCCATTCAAAACGCTGCAGGTTTGGCTGCCAAAGGCCTCGCCGTTTGAAGATACACTGTCCTGTCAGGAATCTGAAAAACATCTGTGCTACAGTGGGAGTATGTCCTTCAATATTCATTTTGCTTCCGCCTATCGAGGCGAACGTCGATCTCCTTGGCTCGAACAGCTTCGTTTGGCAGCTCAAAGAGCAGCTGGTTGAGCGCTTTCAGCTGCCATCGCGGACCTTATGCCGATGGCACCTGGTGATCACGCAAAAACGCTCAACAAAGCCTTCCTGTCTCCGCTTCAAAACGAGCATATCACAACATCCCGCAATCGCTGAAAGCGGAAGCTGCCACAGTTCTTGATGTTCTTGGCAATCTCGGCCGCTGATGTCCACTCCATGGTCTTTTCAAGACAATGCTGCATCCTCCATAAGGGTGCAAATTATACCAGTGGGTTTGGTCTGTCTATTTCCCTTCTTCGAGGGGTTCTTTGGGAGGTCCATTTTTTCTACACCCCCCAATAATGACTATGGAGAGCTTCCGGAAGATTGCAGCTTCTCTGCTCGAACGGCCTTCGCCCTTTGGTTCCTGAGGCCTGCAGCTCGACCCCGTCCCCCACCGCGTAGTCGGTCCTCCAAGCGCAAAGGAGTCACCACCAGCACCCCAGGCACCGTCTCACCCATGTCATCGGACCCGGGACGAGGACCCACGTGCATCTCCTGGCGTCGCGTCGGTTCAGCCCCGCTCCGTTCGTCGCGAAGCTGGTGGAGGCCCTAGTAGCTTCTTGTTCCCAATCGGATCCAATCGGTTTTTATAGATGAGAATGCGACTGACTTGAAGGAATGGCCCCATATGAACGACCGACAGAATGTGTAGAGGCTATTATGAGACTATATGCATAAGATGCATCACAAACATTCCTATCAGTATCCGTGTGCTGTATGTGTGGTGCGGCAAGAACCTGGCCACCGGGGATTTCACACCGAACGAGTCCAGGTCGCTCCGGCCTGGTCATGGTCGAAGACTCCCCGCACCTGCGAGTGCGACACAGGGCACCACAGGGCCGCCAGGTCACAATGTGGAGCTGACCCTTAACTTTGGTTAGACACTGGTTCTTAGACCCCCCCCGCATTGGACTAAAGGCTGTCTTTAGCAGATGCCCAAAGCAGTTTTGGGCGGCCTATATCTGGATCTCCTATATGAAGGAAGTGGTCCAGAAGCTTCTGCCCATCATTTCAGCAGCTGCGAGTCTAGAGGCTGAGCCAAGTCTAAAGGCAAAATTTAAGGCGTACTTGCTTTGCTTTGCAAAAGTATTCTGCTCATTTCTGTCCACTTTCTGATCAAATGGGAACTTCCCCGACTCCCAGGGCCCGGGGAGTATCGGACCACACTCCACAGGGCTATTACTCTGGGCCGAGGAAGCAAAAAGGGTATGCCCGACTCATTTGGGGTTCTGCAAGATCCGTTTCCAGCTACTTGTCCACTCATCTGGGTGGCACATGGCGCTGCATATATGCCTCACACCTATCTATTCCCCTCCCATGTCAAACCCAGGTTTGGCCAATGCCCAGCCTTGGCACAGCCTCTTTTCTTAGCTTTTGGAGACACCCAAGATCGACCAAAGACCGGGTTGGAACCCCAAAGGAACTGAAGTGTGGCACCTGAGGGGGAGGTGTTCTTGCCACAGTCCAGACCAAGGAACCTACTTACGTTTTAGAGCCTGAAGGAGGGTGCTGGTGGATGCTGTACTTCCTGAGTTGTGAGCCAACGACTTCGAGTCATTCACCATGAATTCGCTTCCACCCAAACGGGAGGGACAAAAAAACATACCATGCAGCAAATAGCACGGACCATCAAGGTCCGGTGCACCATCTCTCATCTGTCCGTCTCACCCCACCTCCACCACTCGGTAGACGTAGTCCTGGACCTGCGTGAATCTGCTTCTCGAGGCTGAACAACTCGCAGTTCACCGGTTGAGTGACTTCCGAGTCGTTCGGGTGGTTATTAAAACCGAACTTTCTTACTGGATTTGAGTGGGAAACCAGTAATCCACAAAGGTTCATGGTTAGCCATTGACTGGGTAGGATGTGGCTCAAAAGATCACGAGTACCTGTGGGTCTTAGTCCATTTCTCCCTCTACATCAGTGAGTTTCGACCAGGTAATGGATCCAGGGGTCAGGTGTCGGATTTTGGACTGATCCAAGGCACCTCCATTTTGACGCCGAGGACGCTTCGGTTACGTGACGTGTCAGACTGGACCCTTTCTCCGGGACTGCAGGTCATTCACCACAGGGAGGCATTGCTTCTTCTAAACATGGATGGACCTCTTTGCAAAAGATTGCAAAAGAAACATCAAGATGTGGGCGCTTTCCCCCACGTGCAAGACATGTCAGTGAAAAAAAACTGTGCATCCTTCTCCATTGGCATAGGTCACCTCCAAGTGCTCTCTGCATCCTTTCCTCGGGGACCCAACTCAAAAATTCCCCCGACAATTTGTCAAGTTCTTTGCGGGGGAAGAGCCCCAATCTCAAGTAATGTTCATTTACATATTCATAGTACGATTTGTTTTGCTATATCAAAAAAACACATGTGCGTCCTGCTTTTGCTTTTCGTGTCAGCCCCAAAACGACTCGCCCCATCGGCCTACTAGTCCGACGAGTCCGGAACGTCCGACGTCAATTGAAGCGATGCGCGGAACGAGAGTCCGAAGGTCGCCAGGCTCTTGGGCGTACCGGGTCGACAGCGATTCTATTTGCTCCTTTTCAGGTTGGGTGTTTGGGTGTGGATGGGGAGGGTCTAAGACGGTGTACCGAGGGCTCGGTATTTTGGAAGGCCGAAAAGGAGGGGTTGATTCACCTGGTCCTTTTCAGATTTCTTCTATATATCAACGTTCGGATGATGAGAATGGAGCTCGCAATGAGAATGTCCAATTGAAATTAGGAGGTTCGTGCAGGGTTGGCGTCAGTGCCCAAAAACACAGAGAACATGTAAAATAAAATCAGCAGTGGGCATGTACGACCTTTTCTTGCGAGGTTGAAGCTCACAAACAGCATCGTAGAGTTACCCTCAAAAGAACAAAAAGTCATACATACAGTACACTACAGCGTGAGAATACACGACCGCAACGAGAGTGAAAGTGAATTTGTAAGTTTTCGGAGATGCCAATCATTGCCAATCCCAAGAAAGGCAAAAGTTCAAGGTTGACCACTCACTGAGTAGAAGTTTGTAACAGCTTAGTTCCTATTTCCTGAGTTTCAGGCAGCCAAAACTTGTCTGTTGGACATGTAGGTCAAGAAACCACCCCAGCTTCTTGTTGCTTGATCAAAAAGTGATATTTGATCCACACCTCAAATCCCAATATTCCCAACACACATATATGGATGACTGCCCTTGCTTTGTCTGGCCGGATTGATGTTCAGTCGATTCCTACAATGGTTTGGAGACTCTGAGTTGTGAATTGGTTTGGAGACTCTGAGTTGTGAATTGGTTTGGAGTCTCTGAGTTGTGAATTGGTTTGGAGTCTCTGAGTTGTGAATTGGTTTGGAGTCTTTGAGTTGTGAATTGGTTTGGAGTCTTTGAGTTGTGAATTGGTTTGGAGTCTCTGAGTTGTGAATTGGTTTGGAGACTCTGAGTTGTGAATTGGTTTGGAGAGTGATCCCCAGATAGCTAGAACAGTGAAAAGTGTTCATCCCTCTATGCTAGCTTTGAGTGACCACAAAGTCGTGTCACCTCTATTTGTTTGAGGGACCCCTATTGCAATGAGCTCGCCATTGAAGCTGAACCATCTCCTCCCGCTCGAACACCATTTGCGAAACAAAGGATCCGGGCCTGATCGGTCCAGGGAAAGGGGCTGCCTCTCACCTGGCCGTTTCTGACGCACGAAACGAAGGGACAAAGAATGACAAAAATACAAAGCCTCAAGGTTAGCCACTCAGTTCCAAGGTTTAAGGCTTTTGGAGGTTATGTCCTTCACATCTCTAATTACATTGGAAGCCTTCCAAAACGGCTTAGCCAAATTGGTCCTAATCCCAGAGACTGTCGCCCATCCGTGACCATCGGGCTGATGTGAACCCCAATCACTTCACGCCTGGAATATCGACCTATACATTGACCAATATCTCTCCGCTCTCCTTTCCTCGCTGCATCTCTGCATGCTCTAGTGGATTGCCCACAGAGCGATTGCTGCTTGCTCACGGGTTTCGGTGGTCTGAGAATGGTCCTGTGCTCGCGCTGTGCCAGCGCCCCGTGGGCTGGGTATTCTTTTTTCAATCGGACAATCCAAAGAGTTGATTTTTGACGTGGTGTCACTGGTGGCCTGATCCAGAGAGAATCCAGGGTTCCAAGTGCTAGTGTAGCTTGATGGTTGGACCTTAGAATACCGATACCTTTGACACGTGGATGAATCTCAAGAACCGCAGACTTTACGCTCCATGGTTACAGTACATTGAAGTGTGAAGATCCAGGTGCTCAGGCTTGAAACGGTTATTTATGGAATTTTATGTATCTCACCATCTTGAGACTGTAGCAATGCCTTTACAACACAAGGTCCATTCGATTGGGCAAAAGGCATGCAATCGTGGTTTTCAGAGGAGTTGATACTGACGCATGAAACAACATACACCATGACCTCCGGGTTGGACCAAGAGAGTAACAGCATACAATGAGCTACTTGATGGTGCACCGAGCTACTTGATGGTCAAACATCACAGGGCCGGGCCGGGAAAAACTCCGACGCACCAGGAAAATGGGACGCACAGGTCCAGGTCACGTAAGGCTCCATGGTTTTCGGTGATCACTTCACACGTCTTTTTGGGACATGGACCATTGTATACTATGACCCAGGCACGACCCATGGGACTGCCATATATATGCCGACCCATTGACCCCCAGTCAACCACCCCAACTGATCGGCATATATGGCAGTCTCATGGAGTGTCTGGGTTATTGAGTGGCTGATGGAGAAACACTTCTGGAGAATTGCTTGTTGATTGGACCCACTCCCAAAATGCTTCCGGTGCTGGATTGGTCCAACACGCTTGGAGCCTCTGGGTTCTAAGTTGAAAATGTCGAGCTCAACTCATCGTCGACCTGCATAACCACTTCATCAGAGCCATCGTCGCCCATTTCTTCTTTGAAGATGGCAGGCGTGGCGGGTGTAGCAGGCGTAGCGGGCGCAGCAGGCGTCCTGCGATGGCAGAGAACTTCAAAAAGAAACCAATACAATAAGCTTTCCAGAATGTAAACTATAAACCCAATTTGCACATTGACGAAACTGTCTTCCCCTGGCTCACACGTTGGTTGTCTCTTGGATCAACCAACGAAAGGGTTCCAAAAAGCTAAGCGGAAGACAGGTCGACCAGCATCGGATGGCTGTGTCTCCGGCTGGCGGCTGGTTTGGGAAGATTCATGAGATCCCTGAGATTGTGCCGGAATTTCCATATGAACCAACCCCAAAGCGAGTGGGTGAAATTAGACACCTTCCTCCGCCTCTCTGAGATCCTGAGCTGTTCTAACATCTGAACAGGAACACAAAGCCACTCACTTCCGGCATCGATGCCACCACTTGTTGCGGGTGTTCGATCCGTGATCTGAGGCTCAGCTGTCGGACCATGGAAACCGCACAGGAAAAAGACATTGGCTTTCAGGATCAGGATCCCTATATTTTGTTCCGTGCAACCAGGATCAGGAGCCCCTCACTGACACTGCGAAAAAAGAAAAACAGATGGACTCCGGGACCTCCGGGACTCCCGATTCAATATGATGGGGATCGACCTTTCATGCGGGCGACGTGGAGACGTGGAACGGAGCGGAGACGCCCCCGCGACGTGGAGAGCGCTGCGCCTCATGAAGGAACCCATGCTCCAAGTACAGTAGAGAATCACGAGCCATAAAGCCCAAGGAATGGCAGGGAGCAGGCCAGTCCTTGGGAGGAATAGAATGAACCCTGAAGAAGACAAGGTTTCGCTACGTTTCACCTGTGAGATGTTGTTCTTGGCTTTTGTTCTTGCGACATATTCTTGGTGTCTGTTGATGTTTGCCGGGCCCTTTCTTGGACCTCTTACTGTTACATCGTAGGCAACCAACCCCTTCCCCAACTAGAACTCTTTAGACCTTAGACTATAGAAGAATTACATAAATTGAAAAGCGGTGCGCCCCCGTTTTGACCGCTCAGCTTGGGCCTAAATGCATGGCGTATACCTATGGTGTGCCAGCTGCCATCTAGTCGGTTGGAATCTGTGTCAATCCTAGCACGGCCCCCATGGCATCTGGCACACAATGCGCGCAAGGCTTCAGTGTACGGACACCTGCACTATTCGCTAGGTGCCCGCACCCTGGCTGATGAAAGCATGTGCTAGTCTTTCCAACATTCCAGATCTTTCGATCCAGGGTAAACTTGGTTTCCTGCAGGCGTCCCTTCAGTTCATCTTGTGCTTGTTTCTCACATTCCTTTGCCCGTTTCTTCCACAGTTCTGTGACTCCCCATGCTTGAGCCACATCTTCTGACATTCTCTCGATCTCCTGGGCTCGTTCATCACATCATTTCCAGCCACTCGGATGGCTTTCTTTCTTGCTTCATCCCTTTCTTCTTTCACAACTTCGAGTTCGAAACGTAACTCAGCACACATGTTGTACATTCTCACCACTTCACGTGATTGGCGATCACGTTCATCTCGAGTTTCTTTCAATTTCTCTTCTTGTTCAGCCACAGGCACTTCCAGGTGTACTATCTGCCACTGCATGTTCACCTTCTCTGGGTCGTTCTCGTAGTGTGGCTGTTCAGGTTGGGTTGTGACTTCTTGTACTTCTCTTCTCGCATGCGGGTCATCCGCGTCATTGTCTCCGACTCCTCCTTGTTGTTGCACGGGTTGCTGGTAGCCTCGTCCTCCACTGCACCATGCCTGTAGCATCTGCGCAGCCATCCGTGCCAAGCTCAAGGCCCCAACACTTGCTAAGCAGATCACGGTGATCAGTAGCCGAACCCACCATGCTTCCGTGCCCTCGTTCTCCTCAGTCTCATGCTCTCCAACTTCTGCACTCTGGCCACTTTGCAGCAGGGATAATGCGATCACCACTGCCACTTTTGCATTTGCTCCCAAGCTCTTGGCCATCTTGCCTGTATTCTTCTTCAGCTCCTCCTTCATCTTTATCTCCTGGTACTCGGCATACCCAATCTTCTCGTCATCCCCGTTGATCATTTTGATGAGATACTTCAGTCCACTCATCCTTGCTTTGCTCAGGATCTTCGCGCCGATGTCACTGGTGTTGACTGCTGTAGGAATTCCAGTGACCCTCAACTCTTTGGCACTCACTTTCTGTTGCAGCCATAAGAGTCCTGCAGCAATGTGTCGTCCGTCCAACACCTACTCGACCTGCAAGAGATCTAGCCGCTTCTTCAACTCGATGTCCTGCTGTGTCTGGTTCTGCCTGCACTGATAGCTCTTGCATCAATGCCAGCATCTGCTGATCTTCTTCTTCCTTCTTACTCTCCTCCTTCTGCTCTTCAGCCCTCCTTTTCACTCCTCTCTCCACTGGATGGGCTTCCTCTTGGCAATCTCCTGACTGTCCTTGTCGTTCAAAGCCATAGCTTCCATCTCCTGCGTCTCATTGTCTTCAGCTCGAACTGCACATACTCTCACATCCATAGCCAACGAATTCCTTTCCAGTGAGCCGGAATCTTCAGGTCCTTCTCCTTGTGCTCCACGTAGAGTCCTTGGCTGCCACGAGAAAGCACCCATCCTTGTTTGAGCAATCGTCCAAAGCTCATCAATGGGTGTGTCACACCCACACCCAATGCGAACTGCTCCACAAACTCCACCATCTCTCCTGTACGGGTGTAAGCCTGCAGTCGAAGCCGTCTGTTTCCGGCACTTCTGATAGCTCCTCCCTGGGCATCCATCATGCAAATGGAACGTTGATGACCAGGTAGCCCCACAGTGTAGTATTGCTCCATCTGCTCCCGAATCAAGCGTCATCACGACATTGGGAGCTTCATTCCTCACCATGCACACCTTCTGAATTTGGCCCTTGTCATCTCCGATTGGGCTCGTAGGGCATCACTTCCTGTTTCTTCCCTTGATGGAGTCCACGATGGCGTACCCTTATCATCACTTTGGCAGTTGTAGAAGATCTCCTCCTCATCCGAAGTCTCGTACTGACTCCGCACAGCCATGATGGGCAAGACCGTCTCCCCATCCTCATCTGCCATCAGCTCCTCAGGAGAATCGTCCTTCGTCAAGTCGAAGATCTCCATCGTGGCCAGTCCAGTTGGCGTGACCAATCTCACCCTCCTGACTCCTGCACGGTAGGTGGAGTGGGAATATGTAGTGGTTGACGCCCCACTCGTCTGGCCTTGCTCCTTGCCTTGCTGTCCGGCTGATGCAGCCTTGTTCAACTCGCGTCCTTCTTGATCTTCTACCTTGTTCACACGCTTCGGGCTCCAGCATTCCCGAGCAAAATGCCCGGGCTTCCCACAGTTGTGGCACACTCCACTGCCACCATTTCCTTTCTTGCCATCTTCCTTCCCTGAGCCCTTTGCATTCTTGCCACCCTTCTTGCCTCCATCTTTGGACCAGGAAGCCTTTCCCTTTGAACTCTTTCCTTTGTCCTTGCCCTTCTTCCCTTTCTTGCCACCCTTCTTGCCGCCTTTCGACCACACGGCATCGATCTCCATACATCCTCCTTGATCTCCTTGGTCCATCAAAGGCTTCACACTCGTCTGCAGGCCACCATCGCTGGACCATCGTTGGCTCACCTGCTCATACATCTCAATCCGCTGCCTCAAATCTTCAAACGTAGTGTCGTCCTGCAGCGTCATCTGTATGTGAAGCCTGAGGGTGGCGGGCAAGGCTGACAACACCGAG